CGGCCGAGGGCGAGGGGAGCGTCCGTGACCCGGGCCGGCGGCGGGCGGCGGGCACAAAGCAGGCGCAAGCGGGGCCCTCCAGCCCCCTCCCGTGTCTCAGTTTGCGCGTTCCCCTCCAGCTCCGGTGTCGGCGGGAGGCGCGGCCCCCCCGGAGGGGGCGATGTCCAATGGCGTTTACGTCCTCCCGAGCGCCGCCAACGGAGAGGTGAAGCCCGTGGTATCCAGCACGCCTTTGGTGGACTTCTTGATGCAGCTGGAGGATTACACGCCTACGGTGGGCTTCTCACCTGAACTGGGCCATTCTGGCCCGCGATCAAGCTAACTCCTGGCCACCTCGGTGCTGTATTTGGTCCCCCTGCTAGTGCTAGCTCTTGTTTTTTTTTTTTTATCCCTCCCGTCACCCAAGCTGCTACCTTCCTGATAGGTTCACCCCCTAACTTCCCTCACTCCTCCACTCTCAGCCCAGCAGGGCCAAGCCTAACACTGACAGTTGTCTGATTCCTCAGATTCCAGACGCAGTCACTGGTTACTACCTGAACCGTGCTGGCTTTGAAGCCTCAGACCCACGAATGTGAGTAAACCCAGGGCAGGTTACAGCTTGAGTGCTTGTACAGTTTGTTGTTGGTCTCCTCATATCGTTTTTTTCTCTCTCTTTCTCTAGAATCCGGCTCATCTCCTTAGCTGCCCAGAAATTCATCTCAGATATTGCCAATGATGCCCTACAACACTGCAAAATGAAGGGCACAGCCTCTGGCAGCTCCAGAAGCAAGAGCAAGGTGTGAAGGGTGGCTCACTGAATCCGTAACTACCCTCCACAGCAGTAGAGGAGTAACTTAGCCTGGAACCCTTCTGTGGGGAAACTGCATCTTAGGGGAGGTGTAAGGCCTACTTCAGTCTTATCTGGAATTGGAATCTGGGATTCTTGTGTTCAGCTGGTGCTCTTCCCTCTTCCCTCAGGACCGCAAGTACACTCTAACCATGGAGGACTTGACCCCTGCCCTCAGCGAGTATGGCATCAATGTGAAGAAGCCGCATTACTTCACCTGAGCCACCCTACCCAGATGTGCTTGTCTGTTCCCATATCCCCACACCAGCCTGTTTTCATAATAAACTTTATTGTGACAGGCGGGGCTGATCCCTCCCATGCTGGGAGACACCATGTGGCAAGTGACAAAGCTCTGAGCCCAGCCCCTTTTGGGGCCACAATGGTAGAGATGGGGGCAAGGGATAGGCCCCATAACTGGGGTAGTACCATGACTGGAGACAGGAACAGCAACCAGAGGCCTACTGCTTTGGGGAAATGTACTCCCCCAACCATGCCTTGACACCTCTGGAGTTTAGCCAAGGACCTTCCCGTCCTATTTGTCCTGCATCTTCTCCAGGATAGGCACGATCATGTCAAACTTGGGTCGCTTAGCTGGGTCTTCATTCATGCAAATCTTCATGAGTTTACATACGTGGGGGGAGATACCTGGTGGGATGGTAGGCCGAAGGCCTTCCAGTGCCACCTGTAAATACAAGGGAATAAAGGTGAACCTCAATTTCAAGTGGCCTTGGACAGGATTACCATATATCTGAACAACTGAGTATTGCCTAGGGCCACTATAATGTAAGCACATCCCGACCGTTCTGCACTCACCTTCATTCCAATCTCCATATTAGAAAGGTCAGCAAAGGGTACCTCTCGGGTCACCAGTTCCCACAGAAGCACTGCAAAACTCCACATATCTGCTGAGCGTCTGTTTGTGTCTTCAGGCTTCTTCTGCAAAGCTGGAGAGAGTGTTTGTTCTGGCTTCCTAGCCTGTCCTGTCTGCCCTTTCCGCTCTTACTGAGCCAGTCCTTCTCTACCTCCCAACATGATGCCCTTACGTACCTTCAGGGGCAACCCAGGCAGGTGCATACATGCGCCCAGGGCATTGGAAAGAAAATTTGACATCAGCCATGCTGATTCGGGCAGTCATGTCCTCATCGATCTGAGGAAGAAGACGTGGAAGGTGAGTCCAACTGTAGACAGGCTAAGGGCTTTTGAGACCTAGGCCAGATATAAACCTGTGGCCTCACCATTACACTACGGCTGTTAAGTGCGTGTCGAGGGATGAGGGGCTCTAGTGTGTGTAGGAAAGCCATGCCTCTTGCCATGTCTAAAGCAAACTTCACAGCTTGGCTCTGGTCCACAACGAAATCTGAGAAGAAGCAAGGTTCAACAATTTAGTGACTTCTACTCCTTCCCCTAAACCTTCCCCAGTAAGACCAACATCCTTACTCACTGGTGCCTTCGTGTAATACATTGTACAGAGATCCATATGGCATCCAGTGTGTGATGAGGGTAGGGTGAGGAGCAGGTGGAGACTGGCAGGCACCTAGCACGGGGAGCACATTTGGATGCGAGAAAATCCTGGAAGAGGGAAAGAAAAGAGTGTCCCTGGCGGAGATCTGGCATACAAGATCTCCCCTCTCAAAACTTTTACTTGATGATCCTTAGAACCAACAGCTTCAGGTTAACGTTGTCCCACCTGAGCCGAGGACATTCCTCATTGAAGTCCCTGCTCTTCCTTGTACTCCAGTCTCGAACCTTCAGCACCTTCACCACAATGTCATTGCCCTGCCAGCGGCCTTTCCATAGCTGAAGGATAAGTGGGATTAAAAGATATCAAGGGCACCACTTCCTTGCCCATTAGTAATGGATGCAGAGCCAGGTAATGTGTGGCGCTTTAGGGAGGAAGCGGGGGAAAGGATAAGGGTCACCTCTCCAGAGTGATTCTCATTGAGCTTTGCCAGAAAGTTGAGCTGTTTGAAGTCAATGCCGGAGTGTTTGTTGAGGGTCCCATTTCCTGAAAGTATAGGCAGCTTTGTTCTAACCCAGCTCCAGTAGCCTGGAACTATTCTGTGTTACAACCCCTCCTGCCACAACAGTGACTCACGGGGCCGAGTGCGGGTGGTCCCCTTCCAAAATGTGTCCTTGTATGGAATACGATTGAGGTTCTGGCCCATCTTCTCTGCCCGTTCTGGGGAAGAAAATCAGTCTTAGCCTGAGTCCTGGTATGGAAGGAGGAGACAGACAAGGAGAAACAAAAAAAGTACACATGCTAGGGTTCAGGGATGGACCTCGGAGAAGCTCTCTCAGGGGCGCTTTGGCTTTGTCCATAGGCATCTCTCCATACTTGTTACAGATGCTGACAAGAGCCCCATTAGCCACCAGGTCCTGGAATGAGAAGGTGGTTGTACTGATGGTCTCTCCACTACCTCCCTGACAGTCACAACCATGAACACACAGATGGGGGTACACATCCCTGAAAATGTTGCACAACAATACTGACAGGATGGGCTTAAAGTTCCAGGCTTACTTTGCTTCCTGCCCATCCCAAGGATTTTGAGCCTAAGTACTTACCTCTGCTACCTGATCCTGACCCCAAAAACAGGCATAGTGCAGGGGCACATTTCCATGCTCATTCACTGCATTAATGTCAGCCTTGTACTGCAACAGCTGGGACCCGTGGCCAGACAAGAAAGAAGGAAAAAAAAAAAAAAGCAGAGCTTGTAGTCCCACATGTGTCAGGGTATTGGAAAAGGAAGAGTATTCATTCTACCTTACATTACAGTGCCTGAAACTGACTTCATGTCATGTATGTGATGTGAATGATGAGTTCATTCATACCTTCTGTACAATATCACGGTGTCCATGACTTGCTGCCAGGTGCAAGGGAGTGTCATCCCCACGGTTCATCACATTGATCCGCGCTCCCCGCATGATCAGCATCTCAACCACAGCAGAGCGGCCCTCTCGGCAGGCCCAATGCAAGGGAGAAAAGCCATGATCATCCCTTTGAGAAAAGGGCAGCAGTTACTGAGCTGGAGGCAGCAGGGTAGGGCAAAGGTTTCACTTCATGAAAATTTTTGATACTGTACACTGAGAGGTTAATTCTCATTTGGGCTAGCAACTCCAAAAGCTGTCCTTTCATATCTTTCTCTAAACGTCACACATAACTGTCCATCTGGAAAAGTATAAGATTCATTATCTCCACCTCTTTGTGCTCCACACCTTCCTTGGCAGTTGCATGTGCCATTCATCCACTACTTCCCCCCACATGTACCTCTTCTGCAATATATTGTGCTGTTTTCTATTGCTGCTTATACCCAATTACAGCACTTGTTGCACTAGATTACAAAAACCTTAATGGTGAGAAGTCTTGCCTGATACATGTCTGTATATTGAGGACGTGGGCTGACAGTAGGGGTTCAGTGCATGCATAATGCATATAATCGGGGAGATGGCAGGCTACCACCCACACATGGACGATGGGACCATATTACTCTGGCTCCAGTACTGAAACTAACGTCTAAAAGTGGAATGGAATTAAAATGATGCTTAGGAGGGATCTATAATAAAAAGGAGAAATATTTTTGATTATTGATAAGCAGAAAACATACCACACGAAACAATGTTCTACTTAGCAATCTCTCAGACACAGAAAACAGAAGAAAATGTTAACAGTTGTTTTAAAGTAAAAACTATGCTGATTAGTTTTTCTTTTCCCAAAGACATCTTTTATAAGGCAAAAGAAATATACAAATAAAACTGGCTGAGAGCTGGGTCAGCCTGACAGCCTGGAGCCATAAAAGGAAATTCCCTCCAGTCCTGGGATGCAGATCCAAGGGGTGGAGCCAGGGGCGGTCTGTGGTCTGAAGCCTCTGCCGGATGCCTAAGTGCTGTGGTCACTTCCTGTGTGGGGCCTGGAGCTGATCAGGGGTATGGATGGCCACCCGGATGCCCCCACCCCCTTTCCCCCATTGGGGAATGGGGTGTGTGTGGCCTTTAACTTAATTTCCCCTCCACAGCTTTCCCTCCTCTGCTCACACAAATAACCAGAAGCTTTCCGGGCTGCTGGTTTCCCCTGGAAGCAATTACACCCCCTGCTCTATCAATCAACTTAACCAGCCTCCAACTGTCAGTGACCCTGGAGCAGGCACAAGCCTGAAGGCAAGAGTGTGGGTCCAAGCGTGTTACCCATGGTCAAGGTGCCTGTCACCTCCATGCCTAAACTTTTGAATCCCAAGGAGGCCTTGTAGGGAATTAACCACCTCGTATCCACCATGTGTAGCTAGCTTGAATTTACACACTATCCCCTCACCACCACCAGTTTTATTAAATGCCACCCTTTTGCCTTTTGGCAGTGAGTAGTCTTCCAAGATGCCAGGCCTACTGGGACTTTGTTTCCATTTCCTTTATCAAAACAGTTTATAATGCTGTCTACCAGAGTACCCTTTATGGATTAATGAAAACAAAACATGAATTTGCGTATTAATGAGAAAGATATACAGCCAATGGGAGCTAGTGAAGCCTGGACTCACTAACAGGTGATCCTAACCTCTCAAACCTAGAACTAAACTCCTATTCTTAAAGAAAAGCTGGGTATGGTGGTGCACACCTAAACTTTTAACACTTAGATTACGACAGGAGAATCCCAAATTAGAGGTCAGTATGGATTACACTGTAAGACCCTGTCTCAAAAAGCAAAAAATAGATCTTAAAAAAAAAGGAAAAAAAGGTTTTTTTTAAAGTTAAAATATACTTCTCTGAAACACCAACTACTCCTTTCTTCCTTTCCTATTTCAATAAACAGAAACATGTATCTGCATTTACTTTATTTCCTTACCTCTCATTCACTTTTCAACCTGCCACAAGTCTGCCACCTTGAGGATACACATCAGGTCTGATTTACCACCTTACAAGAGTTGTTCAGTATAGTTCGGAACCTACTCTGGTTTCTTCACCCTCTATTTTGAAACAACACTCACAGAGATCATCAGATATATTCTAATTGTGCAATGAACGATGACTTTAAAAACACCAATGCTTTTTGACCTCTCAGTAGCTTGTATCACCGCTGACCACTCCCCCTTCATTCAAACATTCATTTCTTTCTCCAGGCTTTATTTACATATATTCCTGTATTCTATTTCAACTTCCAGTTTACTCCATTTCAGTATGCATGCACTCTCTGGGGCACTATACTTCACATGAATGTCTTCAGGTGTATGTAACACCTCCCAAATTTGTGTCTTCCAGTCAGAACTCCACTGAACTCCAAATCTGCATAACCAACAACTTACTCAGCATTTCCATGCTGCTGTATTGTCACCATAAATGTAACATCTCTAAAATATAACATCTCATCCTTCCTTTTCCCCAACACAGCAAAAGCAACAATCCAAGTGTCCAAACCAGAACCCTGGTCATCATCTCAACCTTCCTACTTCCACATCAAATCAATTCTCTATTCTTTATGATTTCTGGAAACTCATCACTTTTCATTTCTCATTTATCCCAATTCCAGTCCATCCATCTAGTTGTAGGCAATTGCTTCCTTTCTACCTGCTTTTCACACGGCATCTAATAAATGGACAATGCATCCTAACACTACACACCTTTACAATTTGCTTGCAAACATCTATCCTTTTCCTCTTGTACCCAGTGCTCTAGCCTAGAAAGGTCATCTGTCCTCCAGCTACCTCCAAATATTTTTTTTCTAGCAAAATGTCTTGTCTGTCTTGCCTCTTAACCTTTGCACATGCAGTTCACGGAACCTAGGAAGCTGTGTGCAGCCTTGGGAAACTTAACTCAGCAGTCAAGACACCTCAAGCAGGCCAGTCCTTAGCACTCATCAACTAGAATGGCAATGTTGGGAGCCCCACCCGACGTGAGCAGCCTGCATAGCGGGGCGGAACAGCCTCTAGCCTTTCCTTTCACCCTCCAGCCGCTTCAGCTCACCCCTGGTTGAGGTCGTTCTCGGTGTTGTCCAGCCACAGACGCACAGCCACCGCGTTGCCCTCTCTGCATTGAGTGAAAATGTCGTCCATAGCAGCGTCCGGGCGCCGAGTCCCCGGGACTGGGGGGGGAAAAGCGTGGGGACTGGGAGGAGAGCCAGAGGAAAGAGGCGAGCCCCAGTTTAGTCTCCTCGGAGAAGCGTTCGTGCGCTGGGGCGGAGGGGGCGCGCGGGCATGGGCTCCCGGCAGGAGTGGCGGTCGGGGAAGGAGTTCCCGGTAGCGGGATGGTCCCGTGGCGGGAGGGGACAGGCGGGTCCGGGCTGGGCAGGGAAGGGTCGGAGAAGCGAAGTTGGAGAGCAGGCACCGAGGCCCAGCCCCGAACGCCGCGGGGGAGGTGGGGGGGGGGGAAGGGGACGGCTCAGGCTGCGAGTGCCCCGGAGCAGCGGACCGAGGGTCCTTCCCTACCCGGGCGGCCCAGCGTCCCTCCTCAGGGGGCGAGCAGGGATGGGCTGGCACGGCCCCAGTCTCGGATAAGGGGGCGCGGGCTGCCCCTCACTTACCGGGACTCAGGCTGGAAGCTCCTTCTCCGGGGAACTCCCGTCCGGCCGCGCCCGCAGCCCGGCCCCGCCCCGCCCCTGGCCCTCTCCGGCCAGCGCGGGGCCGCCTCCTCGGGCTCCGTGCCTCCTCCCGCTTCCGACCTCCTCGCTCGCCCTTCTAGGCCGCGAGTGGCTTGCACTCGATGGTTTTTCCTGCGCCGTGCCGGCCGCTCTAGCCGCCCGCCGGGGTTTACTCTTTGGTTTCCGTCCGGGACTTGCCTCCGCTGCTGGAGGCGCTCCGCACGTGGAGAGGCGCGCGCGATTCTCGCCTGCGGTGCTCATGTTCGAGGAGCCCGAGTGGGCCGAAGCGGGGCCTGTGGTCGCGGGCCTCGGGCTGGTGACCTCCCAGGCCCCGCCAGCAACAGCCCCCAAAGTCAAGGTGAGTAGCCTGGAACTGGCCCTTGTTTGCCTCGTACGAGGCCTTGGATCAGACTCCTGGTGGATCCCAGCGCTGGTTGCCGGCCCGTGAGTGCGCTGGGGTGAATGGGCTTCTGCGGCACGATCGGGGGCAAGCCCGATCGCGAAAGATCCGGGAGCTTCCCCAAAGGAAAGGATCTGCTGGGCAGCAGGTGGTGTGGAGACGAGGGTTCCTTGGACCGGAAAAATGTGCACACACATCCCATTAGAGTCTCGCACAGACAAGTGATGGATGGGAGGGGGACAGCGCGAATGGGAAGAGAGATGCTGTCGTAGCTGAAGAGGTAAATTAGAAGTTTTAGAGATACCAGGATAGAGATGCTCCCTCCCCATCCACCCTCTCTCACCTATGCTGGGGATTTTCTCCCCCTCACTGATATCCTTCCCCCACTGCACACACACCCTCTCCATTAGTCTTGAAAAGGTTATTGGTTACAGTGTGGGGAAACAGTTTGGGCAGAGTAACAGTGAACCTCCAGAGTCAGTTCCTGCCTTAGGACCCACAAAGTAGGACTTCAATCTCAAATCAGCTTTCCTAATAGTAGTAGGTCTTTTTCCTTTGAACCATGGAAGATGTGGGACTACTGTACTTCCTCCAGCTATTTGTACTTTTAAGTGAGCCTCGGACATGGTGGTAACCAGAGCTTCAATCATCTCATCTTTTCATCCCCATAGCTATTGCCTTAATCTAGCCCGTGTGCAGCTTCTTCCCTTTAGATTGATCTCTACGCTGCGGCTCTGAGACATGCTTAATATATATCACATTAAATATTTAATATTTAGCTTATAAGTGGTTCTGTTACTTTTGTGTTCAAGATTCCTCTGTGTCTCTTACAAAAAGATACCAACTGGAAGTTGTTAAAGCCTGAAATGGAAGGCTAGAAATCCTGGTCTTACCTTGTTCCTGTAGCTTGTGACCTTAACATATTCCTCTCAAGAACTTGAGTTGATAACCATTTACTCATTGAATAAAGTAGATGGGAAGTTTTTTTGCCCTTCAACCTCCCAAAGGTTGTGTTGGCTATTAGAAAGAACTTCCTGGTCTGGCAGGCTTCACAAAAAAGCTAACTAAGCTGGAAGAATCTGCCAGTATCTGAACCGGAACCCCATCTTTCTTTTCTTATTCTCCAGGCTCCGGCCATTCTCCTCGCCCCTACTTTCATCCCTTGTTTTCCTCCAGGGCCGCAAGCGCCGCCAGCTCTTGGCCACATTACGGGCCCTGGAAGCAGCATCTCTTTCCCAGAAACCTTTGAGCCTACCTGGCAGTGACTCTGAAGAGGAAGATGGAGAAAGGAAGAAGAAGAAACATTCCCCAAAGCCTTCATTTCCCAGTGCTTCTGCTGGAGTTGGGGGGAAAAGGAAGAAGAAATGTCAAACACAGAGTCTAGCTCCCAGTGACTCTGAGGACCTGGAAGTGGAAAGGAAGAAATGCTACAAACAGACTCTTTTTGACAATGACTGTGCTGAAGAAAAGAGAAAGAGGAAGCGTCAGAAACAAGCCCCTTCTAACCTAACCCAGCCACTGCACAATATTGATCAATCAGGTACTGTTGGATATGTATATGTGGGGGTAGAGTGTTGTCAGCTGATAGTAAATACCTCAGAGAATATATCATTAGGATTGAGGCTAAGCAATAGGAAGCATTTTGTTGTTGTTGTTTGTTTTGTTTTGTTTTTTGGGTCCGGTCGTGGGGCCTGAACTCTGGGCTTGGGCACTGTCCCTCAGCTCTTCAGCTCAAGGCTAGTGCTTTGCCACTTGAGCCACAGCACCACTTCTGGCTTTTTTCTTTTGCTTATGTGGTACTGAGGAATCGAACCCAGGGCCTCATGCATGCAAGGCAAGTGCTCTACCTCTGAGCCACCTTCCCAGCCCCAATAGGAAGCATTTTTATTCTATCTGTTCAGGAGGCTGAGATCTGAGAATCAGTTTGGAACCTGCCTGGACAGAAAAGTCTATGAGACTCTATTTTTTTTTTAATTTTTTACTTTTTGTCGATCATGGGGCCTGAACTCTGGGCCTGGGCGCTGTCCCTCAGTTCTTCAGCTCAAGGCTAGCCACAGCGCCACTTCTTGCTTTTTATGCTTATGTGATGCTGAGGAATCGAACTCAGGGCTTCATGCATGCAAGGCAAGCACTGTACCACTGAGCCACCTTCCCAGCCCCATATGAGACTCTTATCTCCAATTAACCACCCAAAAGCTGGAAGTGGAGCTGTGACTCAAGTGGTAGAACACTTGAACCTTGACCAGAAAAGCTAAGCCATAGCTTGAGGCCCTGAGTTCAAACCCTAACATTAAAAAAAATAAAAAGACATTTATATGTGTTTGCGTGTATGCATTTTTTCATGTGCTCTAGAACAGGGTCTTGAACTCAGGGCCTGGATACTGTCCCTTAGCTCTTTTTTTTTTTTTTGTCGTGGGCTTGAACTCTGGGCCTGGGCGCTGTCCCTCAGCTCTTCAGCTCAAGGCTAGCACTCTACCACTTGAGCTACAGCACCACTTCCAGTTTCCTGGTAGTTTATTGGAGATAAGAGTTTCACAGACTTTCCTGCCCGGGCTGGCTTTGAACCGTGATCCTTAGATCTCAGCCTCCTGAGTAGCTAGGATTACAGGCGAGAGCCACCGGCGCCCAGCTTCCCTTATTTCTTTCACTTGAAAATGGCACACTACCACTTGAGCTACAGCTAAAGAAAGCACTTTATTCAGGCCACAATCTCTTACGGACAAGAGTATGTCCAGGATGACTTGCAAAGCTTCTGAAATTAGAGGATTCTGCCTCAGATAATACCTTTCCACACCTCCTTCCTTACAGGTCTTAAAGTCTTGGAGAAAAATGCTATAGATGACCCACCCAAGGCAAGCCCTGGATTGACTTCCCCTAATGCCCCCCATACCTTGAGCCGCAAGCAGTGGCGGAATCGACAGAAAAACAAGCGGAAACACAAAAACAAATTTCGGCCACTTCAGCCGTCGGGTCAGGCTCCTGCTGAGGCCTCCACAGAGGAGACAGAGATGCTTCCTGCTCCCAGACCAGACAGCCAGGAGGCTCGGGCAGAGGCCCTGAGAGCTCGTATGACACAGCGGCTAGATGGGGCTCGGTTTCGCTACCTCAATGAACAGCTATACTCGGGGCCCAGCAGTGCTGCCCAACGCCTCTTCCAGGAAGACCCTGAGGCTTTTCTCCTCTACCATCGAGGTTTCCAGAACCAAGTGAAGAAGTGGCCACTACAGCCAGTAGATCGAATTGCTAAGGATCTTCGCCAGCGGTAAATGGGGACAAGGCCGGGGTTGGGGGGAGCCCTGTGAGGAAGAAGCAAGGGGACTCATTTAAAGAGGTCAGACTAAACCCCTTCCACTCCCAGGCCTGCGTCTTTGGTGGTGGCTGACTTTGGCTGTGGAGATTGCCGCCTCGCGTCCAGTGTCCGGAACCCTGTGCACTGCTTTGACTTGGCCTCTCTGGACCCTAGGGTCACTGTGTGTGACATGGCCCAGGTAAGCCTCTCTGTATCTAGCCTATATTCTGTCACACACGCCCTCCCTTCCTCCCCCTGCCTCATCCTGGTATTCAGTTCTAGCTCTTAAAGCTGAGTCTCTCCTTCCAGCATTGTGTTTCCTTCCAATTCTCCGACTCTCCACAGGTTCCTCTAGAAGATGAGTCTGTGGATGTGGCTGTGTTTTGTCTTTCACTGATGGGGACCAACATCAGGGACTTCCTAGAGGAGGCAAATCGAGTGCTGAAGCCAGGGTGAGAAAGATACATTCCCCACCCCCCAACACATACAGTGCAAGTTCATTTACACAGAACTTCCTGCTTTTCTCAGGGGTCTCCTGAAGGTAGCTGAGGTGAGCAGCCGTTTTGAGGATGTTCGGGCCTTTCTGAGGGCTGTAACCAAGCTGGGGTTCAAGATCCTCTATAAGGTGAGGACTGCAAGAAATCCTGTCCCTATTTTTGTCTCATGACAAAATGCTCTTTTTCAGGATAATGATGATTAGGAAGGAAGACATAGGCACAGAAATTGACATTTTGCTTCCCAAGGGGAGCAAACTCTAGGGAGAGCCCTGGGAAGCTTTCTGGGCAAGGATATGGAGGGAGGTAGTGTTGGTTGTTGATGGTACTGGGGTTCCAACTCAGGGCCTCACATTTGTTAGGCAGTTGCTGTAGCACAGCCTGTACTGTGATCTTCCTATCTAAACTCCCTACCTAGCTGGAGTGATAGGCATGAACTGCTGTACCCAGCTTTTTTGGTTGCTATGGGATTCTGTGAACTTACTTGCCTGGATTATCCACGAACCACGATCCCAATTCCTATCCCCTCAGTAACTAGAATTACAGGTGTGAGCCACACACTGAGGGACATGTTTTGAGGGTATCTGATAAGAATTTGGAGCTAACTGGGTCTTTTTCTGCCCGTAGGACCTGTCCAACAGCCACTTCTTTTTGTTTGATTTTGAAAAGACTGGGCCCCCTCAGGTAGGACCCAAGGCTCAGCTCTCAGGCCTGAAACTTCAGCCATGTCTATACAAGCGCAGGTGACCTCTGGGTGCTCCTTCAAAAGGAGGTGAGGGTCAGACTCTGAAGACTGCTTTCTGCCAGGCTGTGAGCCAGGACCTAACGTTACCTTTCCTCTGTCCAAGAACACATTGTGGTAAAACTGCTGGCTCAGCTCCTGTCTAATGAAGCCTTCGGGGCTGCAAGAAGTATAAAGTCACTTGGATGAGTTAAAGGAAAAGATGTTTATTGCGAAAACATAGGGATATGTGGGAATTATGGATCACCTCACATACCATGAAAACTAGTTGGTTTGAAATCGGTGCATCTGAGTTTGACTCCTCTTTCCATCTTCAGAGAGCACATGGGCTTTTTGTCCTGACCTCTCTACCATGCCATCTACTGACCTGTTCTGACCAGCCATTCTTCTACCATAGATCTACTTCTTCAACTTTGGTTTGTCCAGACCTTGAAAATTTCAGACAAGCAGCACTTGCTTTGACAATTCCAATTTGGCCTGCCACTTAGAGCTGAGAGTCTAAACTCCAAATAGTCCATTCCTCATTTAGACAGTGGTGAAATTTCTGTCTTACAGAATAGTTCTGTGGGATAACCCAGGAAATCTAGGCAAGGTTGAGAAATTGGAGGTGCTGAATATTAACCAGCTGTATTCCATACGTATTGTAAGCTTTACTATTCTTTAAACCCTCCCCCCCCCCCAGGCTAGAAATTAAAGGGAAAAGAAGGAATTTGGGGGGGTCTGGGAATGTGGCTTAGTGGCTTAGTGGTAGAGTATGCTTACTAAGTATGCATTAGGCCCTGAGTTCGATTCCTTAGTACCACATAAATAAATTTTAAAATTTACAAAAAAAAATGAATTTGTTGACTGAGGAATGCCAGGCAGTTTTGGATAGACCATACAGCGAACTCATTTCATGAGGCATTTGTAGATTCTTGTATTTATAGCTACACCAGTCAACCCAGTGATGTGGTTACTTTTATCTGCTCAGGAATCTAGGTATAACCTGAAGAGATGAGTGCTGAGGGATCATCCAGACCTCATTCTTTGCAGATGAAATCAAAGGACAGGAAGCAAAGGAGTTTTAGGCATTCAGTGTGCAAGTGATGGATTGTTGAAGTTTTTTGCACAGGTAGGACAGTGAAATTAGGTTGTTGTATTCAAGTAATCCAAAAATGTCTTGGGAAATTAGATTGTCATCAGAATTAGAATGTTTGAATTATTAATTTTGGAAGCAGATCAACTCCCAAGTGATGGCAAAGTATTGGGTATAGCTTCGGGGGGAGCATTCCTGGGGAGACGTGAAAGTGGGGCTGCCTGGAGATTGATTAATAAATGGAAAGGTATTATGGATGGAGGCATTGTTTGCATCTAGGGTGGTAGTAGAAGTTGGCAGTGGATAAATGCCAGCTTCTTGAGAGAGGGAGAGGATCAGGAGATCAAAAAGGGAGTGAGCAGGATGGCACACGTTTCAAAATAGCAGAAAGTTTACACAGCTTACTAGAAAGACTTCCATGTTAGGGGTGGTATGAGGCTGGTGAATAGCTGGCTGCCAGGTAGCCAATGAAATGCTTTAGACTGCCCTCTTCAGCCTGTCATGATCATGGGGCTTCTAGGAGGACCTGCCATGCTCCATAAAGCAGGAGCTTCCTGGCATAACACTGTGGGAGACAAGCCTCAAAGATATCGAATGTGTGAATAGCAAAGCATAAGATACATATCATCTTTTAGAGTTCCATATTTGTGTTTTTCCTGATTATTATTACTATCCTTACATCAGGATTGTTTTTTCTATGTTCTTGCCATGGTCAGCAGAAAAGCTGAGGTCTGTCTTTTCCCTCTCCACTTTCCTTCCTTCTTTATCATTTGGATTTGCCTATTCTGACTCAAACCACCTGAATAAACATCTCCAGATCTGTCTCACACCAGGCTTTCCCTACTTCAGCCCAGCCCCCACTAGTGGGACAAGACTCTCCCGAGCCATCCGCTTCAGGACTTTTATTCTAATCCATTCCCAAGCTTCTGTATCTAGTGTTGAGAGCCTAGGCTTGTTATTAAGAAATAACAATATGCTCTCTGTTCAAGAAACTGGAGACCTATTTGAATGGATCAGATTGAAGGAGGGAGTGGAGTAGGAGGAGGTAAATGAGAAGTCGGGTGAGAGGTGGTGGCTCTCTTTAGGGTGCCTTAAAATCACCACAAGGCTCCTTACAATGCAGACAGCCCAGCCTTCTCCCCAACTTCCTCATTCAGTAGATGAAGTTAGGGCCCCAGAAGTTCTCTTCTGGTTATGTTGACTTTTCTTTTTCAAAGAAGCAGGAAGATAATTTCTTAGGGGAGAGAGGGGGTGTCAGAAATTCCAAGAGAGAAGAATGTAAATTTCATTTCGAGGGAAGTGAGACAGGGAATTTAAAAACAAAAACTGGGGAAATACAGTGTGATTGCTAGCAGCACTAATTAGGCACACTAGAGGTTCAGGGTCATAAATAAAGAGGACAGGATGGAAAGAGAGTGGTGTAAAATTGCTTTGCAGAAATCTTGTTACTCCCAACCCCTCCTTTCCTGGGAGTGGGTGTCTACCCTCTTACCTCACATCTAGTTAGGGACCCCAGTGGGGTCATTTGGGAACCATGAGATATTCCTATCGCTGAGAAATGATGAGACTAGAGGCTAACTCCTGCCCTGGAAATGTATACCAACTGTTTCAAAGGTGGGCTTTGGCATTGACCCACATCTCCAGAATTTGCCCTAGCAAGCAGTACATGAATTTCTCCTCTATGTACCTTGGAGAAGAGAGGGAAGTATGGGATGGGTTGGGACCTGTCCATGCCCAGTAGGACCATTTTGAAGAGGAAATGAAATCAACACAAAGAAGCAAGGAGTGTGCTGTATGGGCTGGGGATGCAATTTTAGGGTACTACCCAAAATAGTGCTTCCAATGCCCATCTCCAGGGGGCAGCAGGGACTCCTCCTTTAAATATTTCCTAATTACCCAGTTAAGCCAGACTTATTTATCCTCTTTCCTCTCAGTTCTACAATGTGGAGGGGGCTTTGCTACAGCAAGCAGACAGGAAAGCTCTTCCACTGTCCCTCAAAGCAGGCTGCTCAATTTATATGAGGCAGGGCTAGGGGAAAGGGAGAGATTTAAAGCTACAATAGGTACAGATCACTTATCATGATAGAATTATGCATTCTAATTACTTGAGATTGTGTTTGCCCCCTAAACTGATCATACGATCCGTAAGTCAGTTGTTGACTAGAAATGTCCCAGGGTTGTTGCAGTTTTTCTCCATATCAGGGAAAGAGGACCGACACCCCCGCTACTCCCCGGCCCCAACACACACACACTCTCTCTCTCTCTCTCTCTCTCTCTCTCTCTCTCTCTCTCTTTCTCTTTGCTCTTCACAGAGTAAAGTTTGCAGAGCTGGTAAGAGACAATAAAGTTGGATTTGGATATCAGTCTATGCCTCATGCTTATTCAATATCCCTTTTAGACTTTTGAGTAGAGTTTTTTGCTTCTTCAGTTCCCGTAATACAGTCCTAACAGAACACAGTTCCAAAAGAAACAAAATGGTCTTGGCAGAGACACTGCTGCAAACACGCATCAGTTACATAATTGCACAAAGCCCTCTGCAGCTTTTCACAGAGAGTAATAATTAGAGCCTTTCATTTCCAACTCATCCTTCTCAGGTAACTCTGTCTGACCAGACATTTTACTATAAAGTCACTCCCTTTCTGGTCTAATTGCTTCTGTTCCCCAATTCATTTTTTCACACAGTCAAGCAACCTTTTTAAAATGTAAATCAGACTATGTCACTTCTCTGGTAAAAATCATTCAATGGATTTTCATTGCCCAAGAACAAAAAGCCAGATTCCTTCCCAGGCCCTGTGTGATCTTGCCCAGGATTTGCTCTCCAAGAACATCTCAACCCACTCCTCCCCTCTTAAGACTCCAGCCACACACAGGCTTTTTATTCATTGCTCTGTATTCCAAAGCATTTCTACTTCAGCATCCTTACACATGTTGCTCATCTTCCTAGAATACACTTTACTTGGTGAGCTCATTTTCATTTTCTTGATCTCCACACCAATATCACCATATCACCATTTTTGTATGAAAAAAAAAAAGTCCTCTTTCTGGACACACACATTTTCCAGCTCCATGCATTTAGCAGGGAGAATTGTACTCAACAATAGAAAGAGAACTAATGTATCAATATTCTACAAAGGCTTTTTTATTCTCCCACTCCTCTACCTACCAAGGTTTCGAAGGTGGTAGAAGCAGCATGAAAGTTCTTACCAGATGTCAGTCACCACTTTCTTTTTAACCCATGTATTTAAAATGGGAGGAAGAACTGCTCGTGACAGAAAATTGAGATAATACTCATATAACAAAAAATAGAAAGTTTGGTCACAAGCCAAAAGTGTGAAGAATGATTTCTTATTTCTTTGGTCCTTTTTTCCCCCTTCCTAGGCAAAGTCTCTACCCCTTGAGCCATACCCCTGTCCATGCTTGTCCACCTGATTAAGTGGTCACAAGATATATTCTTGTCTTGATTAAACAGAAATACCCTACTTATTAGACTTCCTAGGAATCTTGCCATTAACCATGGCTCTATCTTGGCTCTATAATTCAGTAGTCCTTCCACATTTTAATATTCTGGTGTAAATATTTTCGGTTCTACATACCATGACAGATGAATCTAAAATATTAACACTAAATATATTCCTTTTCCATTCCCTCCCGTGTTTCAGCAACCTTTAGAACCCTCTCTCTAGCTTAATGGATTGGGAGAGCATGATCTCTCATTTTTTTTATCTCTTCTGTCTGTTCTAGGGGAGGGGCATGTTAGAGGAAGAAAGATTAAATTATGTGAATAAAGCAGCACCAGTGTGTTCTACAAAGACAAGCATTTAAATGTTGATTTGTGTGGAGTGTGGGGGAGGGAGGCCCTAGACTTGTGCGTTAACAGACATTGGTTGGCTCTTTGTGATATGTAACCCACACTGCTCTCAGCTGTTTTAACTCAACTCTGCCAGTTCTGGAGATTGAACTCAGGGCCTCTGCCAGTTCTGGAAATTGAACTCAGGGTCCCTGAGCTTCTTTTACTCAACGCTAGAACTCGACTACTTGAGTCATAGCACCACTTCTGGCTTTTTCTGCTTATGTGGTACTGAGGAATTGAACCCAGGGCTTCATGCATGCTAGGCAAGCACTCTTCCACTAAGCCACATTCCCAACCCTAACTCCTAACTCCACAGCCTCCTAGTTCAAATATGCCTTACTTACCAGGCAATTCTCGGGA